GAATGTTCAAAGTTTTTTGGGTTGTGGACATTGCTCAGGTCTGATGTCTTACCTTTTCTGAGGTGATCCAGGAGATCGTAGATCAAGGAAAGTTTGAGTTCTCGAGACCGAGCTCCACATGTGAAGTACCTGGAGCCTTCTCAATGATTGATGACCAGTGCTACAGAGAGTCAAAAAATGATTTGCTGAAAATCTATGTGCTAAAACACTGTTAGAGGACTAGACCTCTGTAGACTTTTGGGGTAAATTTCATTCAAAAGATATTGGAGGATGCTTTTTTTTTTTTTCCTACATTTGAAGATAAACAAGATAAAGTTAAATATAAAGTTCACCTGAGAGTTTTAACCTTCAAAGAAAGGTACTATCTGTAGAAAATAACATCATTGTAGTTTTTGCTTGCAGCTATTGGAAAGCTGTTCAGAACTTCAGCAAAACTGAAATGGAGCATGAAGAGACAGGTTAATAAATAGGCTGCAAGTGAATGGGCTTTAAACTGACAGGCAGATGCAGTTTACATATTAATACCCACCTCTCATTTGAACAAGTAGAGTGAATGTAGGAGCGTATAAGGGCAAGAGAAGATGAAGGTCTTTTGCATTTTTTGTATCACATTAATGAAAAAAAGACAGTAAGTTTTCCAGATAGCAGGTGGGTGCTTCAAACAAGGCAAAAAGCAAAAGGCAAACAGATGTCGTGTTTAAGGTTTCCAGAATAGTGAATAGGAAGGACATACAAATATCTTGGCAGTTTCAATTTTATCGAATAACCAGGGTTTTTCAGTCTTAATGCCAAGAAAACTTTACTGGTTTTTATCAAATCTGTTCCCATTTGTCGCAAAGAATAAGCATTCTTTACTTGACAAATATTCCTATGAAATTTCTAATAATAAAGAAAGCAAAGAATATTATATAAAGCAGTTCATAGGAAATATGAATTTAAGTAGAATAGGATTTGAGATTATACATATATCTTTAAATCTAAAATACATAATTCTATGGTTCACACAGAGCAAAGAAAATTTTATTCTATTTGTTCTTCTCTTCTTTCTGTGAATATTCTTGAATATTTTATGTAATATTGAAGATATAAAGGTAGAGTTTTGTTCTTAGCAGTAGGTAGAAAGAATCTGACTGTTGGATGGCTGAGATTCAATATTAATCCAATACATTACTAATTTAGGATTTATTTTTTTTAAGAATCTGGAATTTATTTTTTGATTTGTTTCAGTCAGATGTTGGAAAACACTAGTGTTTCATTTGGTTAACATTGACTCCACAGTCTGTATGCAATTTTATTGCTGATCAGGTTCTACTGACTGGAGTATATAATATATATATATGTGCCTCCTTATTTAAAAGGCTTATGTATTTACATACGAAGCTTTATAAAACTGCTTTTGAAAATCTTGGCTCTTGTAGCTTTAAAACTCAAGTGGAAATTGTTTTAGAGCTTTTGCAAGATACATAGCAATTCCATTTTTGGTAGGATATTGTTTTTCATACCGTTTGGCATTTCAGGTTCCTTTATTGGCTGAACTGTGGAATGAAAATTAATGCATTCATATATTTTAAAATCCTTAACAGGATCATTGCACTTTTGGCAATGAAATTGTAGCTTGATAGAGTTGTCTTTTTTGGAATTAGTGACTGTGCATCACTATTATCTCTTTTTAACAGAGATAAAATTTGATTAAGCTGAAGGAGATTAGGAGGCACTTGCATTTTTCAGAGAGATACTCACTCCTATTTGGTCCAAGAAAATGAATAAAAAAATCCCTGTGTTGCTTGTCCATCTAGAGGTTAGGTGAAGAGTTAGTAGTATTTCTGTAAATCTCTGATGAGTATGATGCTTATACATATTCAAAGATCTTTCTGACAGTGATAATAAAAGCTGCTGATGTGATACGGAAGGAATGCCTACTATTACTAACTTTCTTGTCAGATCTGGTCCCTACAAAATCCAATGTAGGCTTACTATGTTTTTTTGTTTGGTTGGTTTTTTTTTAAATCCTGAAATAAAAATGTAAAAATAGATTTGTGGGGGGCATGTCCTCCAAATTTGTTATGTTCCATATTGCTCAATGGACCACTTTTTTTCAAGGTGAAGAAAAGCCAGTGGAAAGCTTGCAGACAAATTAAAAATAAAACTATTGTTCTTATTTAGAATCTAGTTGATTTGTAAGCAGCTAAGTGTGCTTACAGTTGCCACCTTCCCTCTGTTATGCCAAATTCTTATTACATCCTTTTTTTTACTTAACAAGGCAGGCCTGGAACAAGTAAAAAGAAAAACCAAAAAAAACCCTGTCTTATGTTCTAGTAATCTGTTTCATGGAGACTTAAGGCAAAGATGCCCTATTTGTATTTATTAACCCTTAATGGATTGTTTTCTTCATCAAATTGGGTCTACAGCTTTCTAACATACACCAACTTCTAATGTATTCACACTTTCAGCTTTGTTTCTGCATAGTGTGAGAGAGAACCTCTTCTTGTGTGTCCTGAACCTTGTATGAGGTAGTTTCATTTGATACCATCTTGTATGAGAAGAGAAGTGTCAGTGTTTGTGCCTCATTTGTATTCTTGCTACTCCTGGTTTTGTAGTCTTGTATGCGGCTTACAGGCCGAGCAGACCAAGTCAGTTTAGCTGTTTCTTGCACCAAGCTTGTTTCACCCTTCAGAACATCTTGCTTGTCTTTCTCTTATCCCCTTTTCATTTCTTTTATATCTCTTTTTAATAGGGGAAGAACGGAACTGCACACAGTGTTTATTGTAGCATGCCTCATGAGTTAATAAAATCTGTGATTTATGAAGATGCTCTGTCCTCCCTTCCTCTCCTAGTAATTTCTAGCCTTCTATTTACTTTCTAAACTAACTTATCTGATGTTTTTATAGTATTTTTATAACCCCAAGATCTTGTTTCTGAATGTATGTCAGTTCAGAGCCATCTATTTATGAGTATGTTGAACAGTACAGGCCCCAAGGATACCATCAACTGTTCAAAAGGTTATTGCTAGATGAGCAGCTGTAGAATTTAGGGTGCAAGAAAGTTAACAAATGCTTTAGTGTGCATGAACCATGTGGTTTAGTTCACATGGTTATGTCTGCATTTTTCACAGGGCAATTTTAATTCAAAAATATTACACTGATATAAAGCATACAACAAAAATATCTGTTACGGATAGAGCATGCATACTATTGAGTATTGCAATGAAGTAAACTACCATTGAGAATAACTCTATGATGACGTTTTGCCAAAATAAGTCCTACATTTTTTCTTAATAGCAAGAATCTCCCCCTTCTCTCCTAAACAGAAACAGTTTAGTGGGTGGAAAAATTGGTATTGCTGGATGAAAAATGTGAGCAGTGATGCACTTGAGACTTTTGGCTAGTAACTAGTTTAACAAATGGGAAAATGTAGAAAGGTTAAGTAGTAGGAGTGATGAAAGATTTATTGAACTCACTTCATCTGGGAAGATTAATAGAATAGAACCAGAAGACCTACTAGATTTTGAATCAATTAGACTTAAAGTGCTTAATCTTCAAGTACTAGTTAAGTGAAAATATCACCAACGTCAAAGAAAAAGGCAAACAGATCTAAAGATCCTCTCTGTTCCTTTGAGATTGGGAAAGGACACCTGCTGATATGATTCTACATTTATGTGAAAGAATATGGGATGTGAGATAAAGATGCTGCTAACAAAGACTGGTTAGAAGTTTTAAAAAGTTTAAATTTTGTGGTTTGTAAAAAGCTAAGTAAAGAATGTTTCCCACTCCCCCACCCACCAGAGAGACCTGTATTGACCACTTGCAAGTGCCAGCAGTTCTCAAAGCTAGTTTTTCAATTTTTTAAAAATTGTTCTCTCTTCTCTGTTTCTTGAACAATTTGCCTTCTTCTTTATAGATACTTCTTCTTTTGATTTTCAAACTGGGATTAGTGCTGCTTTTCCATATTGCCTAAGAACTCTAAAAGTCCCATCATAAGCTGCCTTCTCCTCTTAAGCTCAATTCCTTGTGTGCTTGCCTTGTTACTTGCTTTTCCATTGCCCCCATTTGATGACTGACTTAAGTTTTTAACTCAGCCTCAAAATGTCAGTGCCTCCTCCACTCAGAGCCAGACTTAATCTTCCCTTTATGGTTAGAGTCTGCATGGGCTTTTATCGTTATGTTTTTCTTGTAACCTTTCCACAAAGGGAGATTTTGTTCCACTATGAGGTCTTATGTTGCTGTTCGAATTGGTATGGCTGACCTGATAATATCCCAAGGTTCAGGGTCATACAGCGCTAAGCACATTGCAGAAGTGTGTAGTAACGACAAAGATGGTTTCTGTTGCAGTTCTTACAGTCTTTTGACAGTAGGTCTCCCACATTAGATTCTAAGATTGCAGTTATCTTTCCTTCTCTTGTTTCTGTTTATCTAATTGTATGACATTCTTTATTGCTGCATAAGCTCATCTTACAATGGGAACTTTTCGGGGTGGTTTTTATGTATGAAGATCGCAGGCTCAGTAATAGGATGATGTTTAATTAAAATAATTTGTGAATTTGAGTAAAACTTTTTGGATAGTATTTGAGAGCTAGGTCTGTGATACATTTGGCCCACTCAGATCGTTAAGTTATTGATCATTTGTAGAATAGTTGTCTACTAGAGTTTGGGACATACTTTGAAGTTTGTGCTGTAAAGAAATATATATTTATTCTCAAATATTGACTTCCTTTTGTGAGGCTAAGGCAGCTATACAGTGTCAATAGTCCAGAGTACTGTGTAAGCCCAACTCGTCTCAATTTTAGGAAGCAATGCACTATCCCTAACACTATGCTTTTTAAAATAGTTTTTCTCTCCAACTGCTCATGTGAGATTCCATATATAGGAAGAAGTCTTCAGAAAATAAACCAAGACTTAATGCTACCTGGATCTGTCAACAGCAGCTGCTCAGTGGCTGAAGCCATGTATATATAATACATACGTCCAAAGAAGGGAGTTAATTATGTTCTTGTGTGTCTCTAGGAATCCGGAAAGATCGCAGAGGTGGGCGAATGATGAAACAAAAACGTCAAAGAGAGGAGCAGGATTCCAGGAATGGGGAGGCTTCTTCTACGGAGCTGCGAGCTCCCACTCTTTGGACGAGTCCACTGGTGGTTAAACACAACAAGAAGAACAGTCCAGCCCTGTCGCTGACGGCGGAACAGATGGTCAGTGCCTTGCTGGAAGCTGAGCCACCCATAGTTTATTCTGAATATGACCCAAATAGACCATTCAACGAAGCCTCTATGATGACCCTGTTGACAAACCTTGCAGACAGAGAATTAGTGCACATGATCAACTGGGCAAAGAGAGTTCCAGGTAAGGAGAAAAAAAGCCCTAGTGGACTTTAAAAGCCTCTACATGACAAACCAATAGAAAAAAGACATACTGGTTTTCACGCTACATCTTCTAATTTCATGCAAGTTGTTCACTTAAGCATAAATACATTAAAAATGAAAATTTTTATGTTATATTGGTTGATTAAAAATTATGGTGCAATGTAAGTGACTTTTGAAGAAAGATTTCTTCAAGAAAAAATGTTTCCCCATACTGTAGAATGTTAGACAGTTTTTTGATTGCAAATCTTTTTTTTCAGATAAAAATCAGCACAATTAAAGGTAAAAGCAGGTTATTAAAAACTAAATCTAATCAATTTTATCTAATCAAATTATGTTAATTATTTAGATCCTTTTTTTAAAAAACAGTTACTCTTTTGTAAGCCGTAAATTCAGCATTACTACTGAACCCGTAAATGTTAATATTATTTATTTAATTGCCAGTTTATAATTTTGACTACAAATTACAGATCTTCCAAGAGTTTTGAGTCTGAAAAACGGACAGAACAGCAATTTTTGTGTGAAAATTTTTTCCTACTGGAACTGGATGTTTTTATCTTTATCATTTTGGTGCATCACAGTTGCTGAGCTATGACCTGTCTTTTCTGTAAGGGACTTACAGAATTGTGGGACATACATAAAAATTTTGGTTGACCTCATGTTACACATTCATTCATTTGGGTTAATTAATTTCTATAAATGAAATGAGATAGTAGTTTTGTAATAATGTTCATCATCTTTTAAATTTCAGTCTAAAAGACTATTTTTCATAAGTTAACATTTAAATACTTATTAGAAATTTATTGCACATGGTGTAGTTTTAGCTTTGTAAACATACCAGCATCCATAGTAATTTATACTCTATCATTCACTGGGATTCTGATCTCTTGAATTTTTACTGTAGGCATTTATTTCACTAAAATTATGTAGCTGCTTTGTGAAGAGATGTTAGAAAACACTACCACAGCTGTCACTCACATAGTGCATTACCTCAGCAATGTTACACATGGGTTATGCCATTTTTCTCTTTTCCTTCATTTAAACTTGGCAAGACTCTTCCTGGTAAATCAATAACTCATAAAACCTGGGTCTTTTTCAGTCCTCATGGGTTCCTTTTTTACCACTTTTCACATGTCACTTTGTGGGCTCCAGCTATGATCAATGAGAACCTCTGTGTGTTTCATTTCTTGTCGTATATTACCAGAAATCACTTGAGAATTTTACTCTTGACAAAGTCACAGTGGCTAAGGCGTGATCCACAGTCTGTTCAAGTCAAAGGTGGGTTTTCCTGCTAATTTAGGTGTGCTTTGGATCATGCCTTTACAAAATGCTTTCGAAAAATGTACATTTCCACAGTGTTAAAGCTATTCACTGTCAAAACAGCCAAATTCAAATTACTTTTCTACTGATTTTAGAGATACAACTAGTCTAAGTCTGTTAAAATCCATTAATTTACATTCAACGTAAGTATAACACATTCTAAATTCATTATGTTGTCCAACTGGAGACGTTTGTCTTCTATGACATTTGATTTTGATAATTAATGTAATTAATGAAAATGTGTTTAGATAAAAAGCAACACCGCTAGGGAACTCAGATCTCTTTTTTTATTCAGAAATCTCTCTAAAACTGCCTGTCACAAGATGATTACATCTGGTGAAGATCAAAAAACTGCCTAGTTTATAAATATATCTTTTATTTCCTAAGCAAGCTTCTGAAATCGGAAAATCAAATGTATAAGGTTATCAAATATTTGTGTACATCCAATGTATTTTACATTTAAATAAATGCATCCTCTAATTGCCAAAATATCTTCTAAGGAGAAACTAAGCCAAATGACTCTACATATATGCATTAATGAATACTCTAACAGTTGAAGTTTGATACAAAGCTGGTGAACTTTGGTTAAAAAAAAAACAAAAACAGAAAATCCCTCCCAGTCATAGTTTGATGTATTAGGCATTATACAAACAATCATATTGAAGGAAAGTCCTAAAGCAGGAGACATAGAATATGAATAGTTTGGCGATTCTGAAAGTGCTGGACACCTAGCTGGTTCTTGGTGTTGTGGCTTCAAGAACAGTATGCATGACCACAAACAGAAATGAAAGAATTTTGGAAAGTTGATTTAAAAGAATTCACACCCAATTGTTTACCTAACTCTAAAATTGTGTCCTGTGAGAGCAGGCATTTTGGAGCTAGGTGCTTAAATCTTTTTTTTTTTTAATCTCTTATTTGGTCCCTAGAAAAGTTTGAGAGTTCTTAGTTGCTGATATTAAATCACAGAAGTATTCATCACCTTTCAAAGATAGGGCCTTTGCTTGGATTGTTTGCCTAAGTTTCGTTCTGCTGGAATGTACTAGCTGTAAATGTACCTTAAGAGAATTGCATCTGGCGATATATTTTCACCGCCACAGTATGTTGCCTTTGAATACTCCATTATTACTAGGAATTATGCAATGTTGCTTAATTAGAGAGATTTTTCATGTACTTCATGCATAAACAAGGAACTGAATAACTTTCTCCTGTTAGGTGAGGTGTTTTGTGTCACAGTATTGAGGGATTCCACTCAGTCACTTTCTCAGCTAATTTACTAAGGTTTCAAGCTTCTGACTCAAGGGTGAAAACATCTTTTTCTAAAAAGCACTTATGTTTTTTACTAGTAGAAAAAAGTAGTTGCAGGAAACAGCCTCTCCTATGCACATTTCTCAAGCCTTGGAAGCGTTGCACAAGTTCATCTAGCTAAATGCAGGCACTTAAGAAAGAAGCAAGCAAAGTCAATACGAGTGACTGGGTTGAAAGCATATTGGTTGAGGAGGGAAGCAGTTGATATTAATAGAGCAGAAATGCAATGAAGATATAGCTTACAAGTAAGTATAAGGACTTCCAGGGACATGTTTGGAGTTTATTTTGCTGTGTAGGCTTTAAAGAAATGGGAGTGTGTCAAAGTAACTAGTAAAGACATTGTTTTGGTCAGCCAGTCTTTCTGATGGTGTAAATAGGTGGGCATGGAAGAACAAACAGCTAATTAGAAGACGTACTGGATAGAAGTGAATCTATTCTACAAAAAGGAGTAATGAAAATTAATTTATGAGGGACTGCATAGTATAATGTAGGCAGAGATCTGTTATAAAGACATGCTGAAGACAATCTCCAAAATGAGGCATGTTTGCAGACATGACCTGTTTGGGAAGGTGAGGACTGGTCTAAATCTTTATTGCATCTTGTTCGACATTAGTTCAAACTTGCTTAAAATGACTCTGCAGTCTTCGTGGTGTTAATAAATTGCTGGGCAAAAGAGAACTTGTGGCAGCTTCTCGTGCATAACCTTAAAGAATGATCTTCAATATTTAAGTATAATATGATTGTAACTGAGGTCATAACAAAGTTCTGTTATGACAATGCAATTCATGATATGACAAGTGCACAAAAGCTTGTTTTAAGAACAAAATCTTGTACGGTGTCCTATGACATATAAAGAAAAAAAATCAGGATGCCACATAGGACTTTCTCTTTACACGACCTTATGGGGATTTTGGCTTAGGTCTTCCCAGATGGCCTCTGTAAGACACCAGTGATGCCTTCTGATTACCCCAGCCAGATAGAATAGCAAGCTGCTGCACATAAGGCAGATGCAAAGAGATTGTGATGGGCTAGACTTTACATATGGATGTAAATGGAGCCTTTTATGATTATCACTAAAAATCACATGTTGGCAAAGTATCAGCATAGATGAATAAATGTTCTACTCATTTCTGAATCATGTATTCTTGAAAGATATGGCTTTCTGTTTTCTTCTTGGTTTACATAACATCTTGGGGATATAGTACCACCTCCAGTCTCACAGAATGAGGTTTTTTAGTTTAGTGAATTTTCATCATGGTCTTTGATGCAATAAGCAAAACTATTACTTTGCTTTTCTACAGAAATGCTGACATGTCAAAGGAATTAACTTATTGTATTTCATTATTCACTTACTGTGTATATCAATATTTATATTTGGAGTACTGTATTCTCTAAAAGAAGCTGACATTTTAAATGTAATCAATAACTTTTTTTTGTGCAGAAGCTCTTGAGATGGTAAGAGACATTACAAGCTTATAGAGTGAGCTCATGGTAAAGAGTGTAGCTTTAAGGAAATGTTGCAAGGGTGAAATCTTTGGCACTGCTGCTGCAATTTTGTATAGCTATTTACTACAAGTACAGTAGCTGTACAACTTAATAGCCCTAAAATGGTACGCTGGGCATACAAGCTTTGAAGTTTTGAGATGATTCACGGTGCTGTACTTATTTTATGGCTTCATGAACCGAGGAGATAAACATTTTGGCACGGATCTCTTTTTTTATTTCAAAACCACAGAAGTTGCTATTTTCTTAAGATATTGTTTTCCTATTTGACCTTCTAAACGGCTCTGTTTGTTAAATTAGGAACAGTGTGTAAAGAGGCCAACAATAGCCACAGTTCTACACTGCACTTCAGTGACACCAAACCTTGGAAAAAAAAAACACAAACTCAGCCTGCAGTGAAAGGAAAGAAATCTTATACAAGAGTGATGTGTGTTAATAACTCTTTAGGTGCAGGACAGTTTACAGAGCTTCTAAGTGTAGTAGCACTTAGATCCTCCTGGCAACAATTTACACTTAGCATAAAAAGAAAAGAATGGCTTGCAATTCTGGCAATATTTTTTAATAAACCTTCCAAAATACCTGCTTTATAGTCTCTTCTCCTTTGACTAATGGGCTTGCTGTGGAGATTTGTAAAACATTAAAAAAACCACCCCTGTGCTTATCTGTTTAATCTGTTGAAGTGATATTCTAACTGCTCCCCTGACTTCATAGGGAAAACCAGAGGAAGCAAATAGGTTTGTAAGCAAAAGATAAATGATACCAAGCATCTGCATCTTACTTTGTGGCTGCTTTTGCTAATTTAATTTCTGTGAAGTTTCAATTCATTACCGTGAATGTAAGAGATAAGAATCAATC